GCCGGCCTGGTGCACGCCGCCGGGCGGCCGTTCCGGCGAGAATCGCTCGCGCGGTTACGCGGCCGGCCGGCCGGCCGACCGTGGCGGGGTAATTATCGCTGAAAGTCCGTCATCTAGGTGATCGAGGTCTGCACGCTTGCCAGCGACTGATTGAAAACCAGTTATAGAGCGGCTCGCCTCCGGGAACAGCTGCCACGTAAGATCTCGGGGGGGTACCGGAGCTTTGGACGCGAAACCAGTAACCCATTGCAGTCCGATGGTGGTTTTTTTTAGAAATATTCGACATCGATGAGGTGTATGGCTGATGATGGGAGAATTGGGGTCATCGTGGTTAGCATTTGTAGCGAGGTGACTGCAGATAGTGCAGTTGGAATATTTTATTGGAGACGACGCGAGACGAGTCATTTAGTGTTTTTGTAGAGTAATGGACGTTGATGAGGTATAGTTGATGATCGGAGAATTAGGGTCATCGTGGTTAGTATTTGTAGGTGCTCGATAGGTTTTTAGGTGGAATATTTTATTGGAGAGACGACGCGAGACGAGTCATTTAGTGTTTTTGTAGAGTAATGGACATTGATGAGGTGTATGGTTGATCGGAGAATTGTCGTTGTGGTTAGTGTTTGTAGGTGACTGCACTCGATAGGTTTTTAGTTGGATTTTATTGTAGAGGAAGAGATGCGAAACAGAAGTCAGTTAGTGTTTCTATAAAGTGATAGGGACTAATTGACGATTGATCGGTAGTGCTACTGTTAACGCTGTGTATTTAATAGTAGAACTACCGACTTCAATTATTTTCCAAGCTCAGTCGTATATTGAATTGACTTTCCGACGTTTCCAATAACGATAATAAAACTGACTACAGGAAATGTACCAATTTTAATTAACAAGAACTTATTCGACTGAGAAACTAACTTTAACTTAGAATTTCAAAATGTCTTTTGACACCTTCCGTAAAAGTGTTGATGAAGCTGAGAAAGAGAAGTCAAGAATAATGTCCTTGGCAATATATTCTAAAGACATACAAATCATTGATTGCTACTCTGCTGGTTTCTCGTTCATTTAGCGAAACACGAAGCAGAAACGCACTCTCCAAACGATACGCGTCTCCGGCGCGCCGGTGACTTCAACGCGCGCATAGGAACGCTCGTCGGGCGCAGTCGGCTGTCGGCGCACTAATTCGATCGTCTCTCGACTGAATCTCAATTAAAACCGCGGAATCCAGTCCACGCCTCGTTCGATACACGCGTGATTTCCTTTCCACGTAGAACCCGCGACGTTTTAGGCAACGGGGATAATTAGAGCAAAGAACAAAAGCGGATTTCACTCGCGCATTTTCACTTTTCATCGACGCGTTTCATTTTCGACGGGGATTATGCGCATCGCGCGCGCGATACACGCAGAAAGAATGAAAGTTAATTTCGATTCATTAGATACGAAGAACTTTTCCTCGCAGACGCCGCGCCGGTTGCCGCATAAATTTTACGAGGAGCGAGAGAATGTAGACTGTCTCGCGATGGCGTCTGGCCGGGTATGAATGAAAGCAAAGGCGTAGAAATCCGTTGTACGCGTTCACAATGTGCCGCGCGAGAAACCGCGGCCATTGGGAAAACCTTTCGGAGGAAAGTAATTGGCCGCGACTCAGACTTTCTCGGGGCTCGAAGGTCATTAACGAGGCGGCTGGATGATTCCGCGAGCAATTAGCCGGCGCGATACCATCGCGCCTACTGGGAAACAATCATTCCCCTGTTTATTCGCGGAGCACTCGTTGTCGCGCTACGAGTGTTAATTACCCTGGAAATTCGCGCCGAATCTCCACGCGAGAAAAACTTTCGACCGGGTTTTTTCTTTTTTTCATAAAAAGTTCACTCGACACTTTCTCCGGGAGACCAGGCCAACGCACTTCCGAAGATCTTGCCGGGAAACGAGACGAAACTTGTTTTTCTCGTATTTTATTAAGAGTTGGGAAATAGGGGAATATTAAAATTATTTGGATTAATTAGAGATTGGAGAGACAAGAGTCTCGAACCAAATGCTGCAGGAAGAATTATTTCGATTGAAACGGACTTCGATCTCTCGTTACTTGTATACTAGTTCAAAAGCCGATGCGATTTTTTGATTTTCATAAATCTTAACCCTTTGCGGTCCGAAGTGCTCTTGGTTTCTCACTTTGAGGTTCACGTCGACGCTAGTCCTTTCTTCATCTTTCCTCAACCGCATTGGCTTCGCGACTCGCACACAACAAACTTAGTAACCAAAATGCACTCCAATTGTTCTTCAACCTACGAACCTTCTACTCTCCATCAATGAATTTTCCAATTTCACTCACAAAGCGGAACTTCAACCCCAAACATTCCGTCGAAAAGCGAACGATCCAAAGAGAGCACCACCAAATCCAGACAACTCGCTCGCGAACCGCGTCCCTAGAAACTATTAATCCCAAGATGGCGTCTCAACGTTCCGCGGCGAAAACGATCGGTTTCCTCCGGCGATCACGCCGATTTAACGGCCCTCGATGACTCTCCGGAGCAGAAGGACACGAAGAGAGAAGAAACAGGGCGAAAACCGGCGAAGAGGAAAGGAAACGGAGCCGCGGGGATCGTTAACGGTGTCCCGTGTTAAGACGGGATAAAATGTTCAATAATAATTGCGAAAGAACCGATTGAAATGGAGGCGAGCCGTCTGAAAGGTGCGTCGAATTCTCAGGTTCTTCGATCGCGATCGGCAAGGGGGGACGCAATGAACGTCGAGCGGCCGACGATGGACGGTTGCGGTCAGCAGCCGCTCTTCTTGACCGGGACTTCCGGTTCTGCCGGGATCGCCGGTCCCCAGCAGCAGACGGTCCAAAGTGCCGCGCCACCGGAACACTACGGTGGACCGTTGAGCCTGAGCATCTGCATATCCGATTCCGGCCACGAGATACTGCGACCAAAGCCACGCCGGTGAGTGTTCTTTCATTTCTTCTTTTTCTCTCTGATACTGTCGTCCTCACTCTTTTCTCCTTCTACTCCCGTTCCTCTCCTGTTTTTTTGGATCGCGTTAGGACAAGGGGACAATTTTACGACACGGCAATTATTCTTAGACGTTCGCGACCATAAGGGTTCAGCGTAGAAATCAACCATTGTCTATGTTCCGACACGGTTTATTTAGTTTAGACATAGCTATCGGTAAAGATTTATAGCATGACCAATTATGACCGCTTATGTGTAAGCACAGTAGTAAGTGAATTTTGAAAGCATTTTATTGCTGACTGCAATCCTTAGATCCGATGTCATAAATGACCAACTGTCGAGGCTAACATATAAAAAAGCGCACAGCTACCGGTACCTTTGCGGGTCAGAGGGGAAGACGTACCCCCTACCTCCGCTACTGGTAATGTGGTAGGTTAAAAAACGGCGATTAGCAACGCCTCGAGCATTCTAGCCTTCTGATTTGTCACTAAGGACACCGCCCTATCGTCGACATTTCGGCGAGATGAAATGTTCATATTTAGAAGTTCCTATTTAGTTCAAATGATTTAATTACTCGAACAGCAAGGGATCGGCGCGTAGTTTCCCTGTTCTCTATCAATTAGCAATTGATATATAATTTATCTTTATCTCTTGGAGGTTTCGTACGTTTCAGAGAATCTTCACAGAGGGTTAACTCGAAAGTTATCTAGCGTTATCAGCCTAAAGCCGACCTCACACTGCGAACATTTCACTTCTAAATGTGACCAAAGCAGCCAGTGTCATTTCTCCTCTCTCTCCTCTTTCTCTTCATCCCCCACTTCGTCCTCTATTTCCTCTTCCTCTTTTTGTATATTTCTCTTTTTGGTCTGTTCGTTTTCTCGCCAGGCTCGAGATCCCCGCGCGCCGTGTTGTAATCGATATCGATCTTAACGAAGATCTGATTAATGGTCGCGTTCGACGGTGATCCGCTAGCCCCGATAAGGATCGATTAAAGCCTGGCCGTGAATCCTCCTTCTCTTTACTGCTCCTCTTCGTTCTCTCTTCTCTCCTCCCACTCTTCCTCCCTACATCTCTCTCTCTCTCTCTCTCTCTCTCTGTCTCTCTCTTTCTATCTCGCCTTCTGCGGAACGTTGAACCCCGCGACGAAACTAGATATCACTGTGTCCGCCGTTCGACTATGGCGATACGGGCTGACGCGTCGCTCGCCGTGAGTATTGTCCGGATAGTTGACAGTGGGGTCCGATCAAGAATCTCTTGGGTTTCCATGGTTACTCCGTGATTCCGAGTGGATATTTCATGTGAGTAAATAATGGGGTGAGGGATGATGTCGACGTCCGTTTATCGTTTACGTTTCACCTTTTAGTATTAACCCCTTCTGCGACGAGTGAGACTCGTGAAGATCTTCAACATGATTCAACAAATATATATATTATATAATATATATTACTCAGTTCACTCGAATTCAAAGCAAATGTTATTCCTCAACTATTATAGTTAAGTTATTGGGTTTCCATGGTTACTCTGTGATTCCCAGTGGATATTTCATGTGAGTAAATAATGGGGCGAGGGATGATGTCGACGTCCGTTTATGGTTTACGTTTCACCTTTTAGTATTAACCCCTTCTGCGACGAGTGAGACTCGTGAAGATCTTCAACATGATTCAACAAATATATATTACTCAGTTCATTCGAATTCAAAGTAAATATTGTTACTCAACTATTATAGTTAAGGAAATACAGGTATAATGTACGATTGGAGTTTTTCTCTTCCCGAAGAATTATTGTTCATCAAACTATTATAGTTAAGGAAATATAGGCATAACATAAGAATTTTTCTCTTCGAATAAATTGTCAATGACAAAGTGGCCGTATCGGAGTTGAGAAAGAGATCGTAGCTTCCAAAGCTATCAAAGCTTTGCTAGTTGAAGCTTCCAAATTGAAGAACAACTATAATAAAGAAACATAATTTCAAATAAAAATATTTAGCAACATAAGTATCTAGATCACAGCGTAACATAACCACTGTAACACTAAATCACTAACAATTATTTTCAATATCATTTGCCTTCGTTATCAAAGAATAAGTATTACTATTCAAAACTCTATAAATTCTCATGGCAGTCAACGTGTTAACCCTTTGCTTTGACCCTTTGATTTGACCCAAGAAAATTGCAAAATTGAAAATTCAGTATTAAATTTTATATAACGTACGAGCACATGGAACATCGAAATAAAATAGTTTTATTACTTAATTTCCTTCAGGTATCTCTTTACGTTAATTGCAAGAAATATCATCGACATTTAATCAGAAAATAATGAATACCTATTGAGAAAAATATTCTCGAGTGCAGAGGGTTAACACGCACGAAGTTCACAACTTGTTCCGAGTCTCCCGACAAATTTAACACGACGATTATTTACTTTACACAAGTTGTTTCGATAATGGAATCGTTCCCGCACGTTCATTTGAAATTCATAATCCCGCGGTATAATTGCGCCCGTCCCGTAATTGAACGGCGAAAGTGTTCCGCCGGGTGTAGATTCGCCTTTAGACCGCAAAGGGTTAACGCTTCGACGAAGTCGATTGGTACTTTGTTGATATTGTTTCAAAGTTACCGACCGGTTTCGGCCTCTGCGCACCTTGAAGCATTTTACGACGCGCGCATTGCTGCGAGCGATGGATACGAGCCTACCGAACTTTTATGATGCCTGATACATGTTTCACGATACAATGTCTGTGAAAAAGGAACAACGGAGAGTCGGAACCATCGCCATTAACGATACCATCGTGAAACCTTTCGGTGTGTACGGTGGTTCGAGGCATTCAGAACGCTTCAGCCGAAGTTTGGTAGTTTGTAACTTTTACAGACAGTGTGTAGTATATTTGTAGCATTGAAATATTAATCAGTTAATAATTTTTGTTCAACATTTTCTAATGTGTTCTAATATATTTGACAGCATTAGAAATGGATGAAAGGTTGAAGATGGATATCAGAGTGAATGTTTCGAATAATATTTAACCCTTTGCACTCGAGAGACTGTCAGTCACTTGATTTGATACAAAACTATGAAGTTGAATATTTACTATTTTAAATGAAACTAACTAAAATAACTTTATTGCTTAATTTATCTGTGAATTGTTAAAATTGGTTTCAAACAATGTCGATTATATCTCGTCGGAGAATGTTGAATATCTCCAGTCGAAATCTTCGAGCGCAAAGGGTTAAGTGACATTTGACGTATGTATAACACAAATCGTTTGATCGATGTTTGAAAGTATATCAATATAATCGACGCTTCTAGTAGCTGAAATTTAGCCGGCGTGAAATGTGTTAACACTTAGGCGACTGCCTAGAAAGAACTGTAACTACAACCTTCTCCATTATCTTCAATTATACTCGTTCAATTGATTTAGTTAAAAACTATGTTTTGTAAAAACCAGAACCGCATTTAATGAATTGCAAATAATCCCACGTCAAGATTTACTAAATAACAAAAGAAAAGATGAACAGGGTAAAAGGCAATAAGTGGGAGATCTCCCCATTCGGTTGGCTGAGTGTTAATTATTCATGTGAATTAAACGATGCCTCGCGAAGGTTACGCACGCCACTCGAAAGGGTTGCGTAGAATATTACATCTTCGCGATGGCTTCGTGCAAATCGATCGGCAACCCCTTTCGAGTACAAGGAACAAAATCGTGTAGGGTGATTGAGTAACTTTTAATGGAATAAATAATATTTCTAGTTTATTCAAGGATTTACTCCTTTATTTAATTCTCACTGTCCAAACAGTTTATCAATCTTTCTACTGTCGCCTCCGAAGCTGTTGAAAAATCTTGTCATTCTCCGCACAAGGTTGATATGTATTTTGCTTCTTGTGTTCAGTATACGTGAGTGCATACTAATAAATCTATATGAGCAGGTTGTGAAAATGAGAAGCATGGTTGTTTTTCTAAGTTGATCTCTGATGCATTATTTTCTATCCTAGGTAATAGTCTCGTCTCGTCTCGTCTCGTCTCGTCTTGTTTCGTCTCTCGGAACGGAACAGAATCTTCTATATGAGCAGGTTGTGAAAATGATTGTTTTTCTAAGTTGATCTCTGATGCATTATTTTCTATCCTAGGTAATAGTGTACTAGGTAATAGTCTCGTCTCTCGGAACGGAACAGAATCTTCTATACGAGCAGGTTGTGAAAATGAGAAGCATGGTTGTTTTTCTAAGTTGATCTCCGATGCATTATTTTCTATCCTAGGTAATACTAGTTAATAGTCTCGTTTCGTCTCTCGGAACGGTACAGGGCGGAACAGCCCGAAATGTTCGGTACCGGGCCGTTGTACCACGTCGAAATTTATATATTAGCGCGAAGGCCCGTTACGTCGTGCACACAGGCGCCCGCGGGTTGAACGAACCCCGAGATTTGTGGTGCTATTACGCGAACCCTTAAATTTCACCGCCTATTTGTATGCCGAACAGATTCTTTTGGCCCCGGCCCCCGGGAACCGGCGAGAGGAGGCGCGCGGCCATATTCGAGTGGTGTCGATGGGACCAAATGACGGGGGAGGGGGGAAACGGTGGCCCGCGAATATATGCTCGTTCGACATCGTTAATCGAATCGCCGGTAATTATGTACATCGTAAATTTTAATGATCCTTAATCGGATCGGCCGTAGACCGGGAACACACCCTCCTTGCCACCGTGTCCTTCCTCGTCTCCCCTTTCCTCTCTCTGTCGCCCTCTTTCTCTTTCTCTCTCTCTCTCTCTCTCTCTTTTTCTCTCTGTTGCTCTTCGTTGTCCCTTAACGGCGATCTCGAGAGATCCCGCTAAACATCCAGAGCGAGATCAAACGAAACGAAAAAGAAACGACGGCGGTTTTTGAGTTTGTGCCACTTCGAGAGACGCTTTGGGCTCGGTGGGGATGGATGTTCGAGGACAGGTGTGTGATGTTCGAATGGAACTGGAGAGATACTGCTAAACATTTAGAGTGGAATCGAA